GACTTAATATTCCATCACAACGAATTCGCTGGTTGTCATTATTTCTGACAGGCGATGAAATATGAAGAAAAATTGTTAGATTTTATTTTTTTAAAGTCTTTACCCTTCAATACATAATACATCTATATCATTAATCTTATTTACGGAAATATGTTTTCAACCTAAAAACTTCCCTTTTTTACTTCAGTTAGTCATTAACTCACTCATAGTTCATATGTATCCATTTTGCATTACTGCGGATAAAGAGAGACCTTTAATAATAATAATCAATTATTTTGATTACAATAAAAATTAAAGGTAGAGAAAGACATTAAAAATTCGATATTTTAAGAAGTCTAATTCGACGATCTAATGAGAGAAATATTTCATGGTAAAGTGCTATAAGAGTTTAATCAAAATTGTTAAAGTGGTTTTTGAGAAAAGGGACTTGGTTATTTGGACATGGAGGGGCTTCAAACTCCCCCCCCCCCTTCAAACTGAGATAGAAATTGGTTCAAGATCACAATATTTTCCCTTAATACGAGTATATATTTCATATATAGGATGTTCCATAAGTAACTTGAAATAATTAAAGGAGTGATAGAAGATCTCAAGAGCTACAGAAAGTGTATACAAACAATTTCCCGATTTTTCGCAGAAAAGAAGAAACTTAAGAATTTTTTTTTCTATTCGAATAAGTCATGTTTTTATTGAATAGGAAGAATTTGATTAATTCAATTAACAACCACTTTATAGTAAAATAGACAAATTTTACTTTAAATGTAAGTAAAGTTTGTTGTAAAAAACAAGGGTCTCTATTAAGCTGTTAAAGTACGATGTGTTCTGTTATTTGATGAAATCATTTATTATTCGTGTTTTATGTTTTAGCACTTTCCAACTTGACTACAGCTATCGCACTTAAAAAAACTCCCTTTTTTAAAAAAGCTTCATGTTTATATTAACTAAGATGAGTTTTGTTATCGAATAAGTTGAGAACTACCTCTAGTAATGCAAAAAAAAGTGATGTGATTTGATTAGTGTTTTTATCAAAGTACCATATTTTTATCAAATACCACCATGGAATGCACTGTATAAATATGTAAAAGTGAAGAAAGTGAATTTCTGTTCTCTATTATTCCATATCTTATCTAATTTTATATTACCATTTAAGATATCAGACTGAAAATTTATTATTTAAATCTTTGTCACAGAAATATTTTTTTAAATCAAGGTCCATTTTATTTTTTACATACTATATAATATACAGCAGAATACAGGCGGATCTACAGGGGAGGGGAGGCTTTCGGGCTGAAGCCTCCCCCCAAAATGGTAAAATATAACTATGTTTTACAGAAAAAAATATTAAAAACTATCTCTTAAAGTATTCTTGTTCGGGTAATTATGTTTAACAGGACTTGAAGAACCAGTTAAACACCATTTCATATAGGTAGTTAATTTTTTTTTTCAAATTAATTATCGTTATATGTATATGAAAAAAAAATCTAAAAAAAAAGAAGCCCGAATAAATTAAGTCCTCGATTCACTAGTACAGTAGAGTATCTCATAAGAATTTAATTAGAGTGTTAATTAGTATTAAATAACATTAAATAATGTTATGTACTATAAATAGTAATGTGTATATATATATATATTCACGTTTACAGATTTAATTTCATTGATCATGGTTGTAAGCCTGCACTTTCCGCCCACTATTCATTAGTAATGACCCGCTTATCCCACTAGAACGGATCCGGTATCTGGAGTATCATATTGACAAACGGATTACCTGAAATCTACATCCCTTGCCAATACTAATGATTTACACTGCCTAGAATGTTTAATATATCAATAATAATGTTTATTGGGTTTTGAAATATTGTTATTTAGAAGTGAATTCCAGGGCATATACTCATATGCCACCACAATGATCTGACACCCATAAATAAATTTTACCGATTTCTAATTATGTTAAAATAATAAAAAAAAAAACCGTCAAATAGAGATCTTATATTAAATATCCTATAATTTTAATTAAGATTAAAATTATAAATAAATTCAATTAACAACGAAATACATAACAACTGACTCTAAGAATGATAATGACCAGTAAAATATTTTTCTATTCATATAAGTAAACTTTATTCATAAAATTAAATAAATCATATCTATATATAGAATATATATTTAATAAACTATTAAATAGTAGATTTAAACTGTATTAAATTATTTCTTTATCAGATTCAGGAGTCAGAATTTATGCCTTTAAATATTTCAATGAATGCGACAACCGAACTGAATACAATGGAAGTTAAAAGTCTATAATAAAAAACCACCTTATGGTCCGGTGAATTCTGTCTCATATTTTCCGTAGAATTGTTAAAAGTTGAATAAATTATCTTCTAAAATTTCTCGTGGGTTACAATGTGCAAAATCAATGTTTGATCATGCTAAAAAAAAAAATGATCTGCCAGAAGTGAAAATGATTGTTTTAAATGATGATTAGAATGATGATTTTAAATCTTGAATAATTTATATTTTTACTAAACAAAGCAAATCCCTCATCATAAGAAACAAACTATTCATCGATTAAAAGTCATATACCCTAAATATCTAAAATAAATCTAACTACAGACTTGTAGTGACCTGAAATTATATATATATATATATATATATATATATATATATATATATATATATATATATATATATATATATATATATATATACTTACTTATACATGCATATAATTCCAAACGTACTTACTAACCCATACCTATTCCACATACCTAAAGAAGAAATACTCTTCAATTTATTTATAAATTAGCTTTCAAAGTTTCTGACGATAAATATGATAACAAAACGCTGCATAGCCATTCAAGCTGACCCTTTGGACAAAGCAATCAATTTATTATGCCACAAAATGAACGGTGAGATAAACATCACGTTGGTCAGTTCCCTCTTAATTATTTCGGTTATGACTGCGGTGATGGAAAGCTATGGCACAAAATCATTCTGTATTTATTAACATTCCTAGAAATTACATTCCTCTGTTCGCTTTTAAATATACCTCAACATAAAATACCATGCTTGGAAAAATACAGAGAATATACGATAAGTACACATCATCTCTCCATTGATTTATGGTCTGCGTATGACAGTGTAATGAGAAAAGAACACTACAAAGGGCTGTTGGGAATGAGAATTTCTGTCGAGCCCATTCGTCTCATACACTTGATAATGATGAGAGTAAAATGGCCATACATTCTACACGTCGCATTCAAGGTATGACCTCAGAGAGTTTTTGCACCAATAAGGCTTAGCCAAGGAGAATGTCTTGGGTGCCTACTATTTAACTTGTCCCTAGAATGTGCAGGGAGGATATCCGGAATCCAAGTTGTAGAGTCAATTTTCAATATATATGCAATGATCCTTGGGTATGACATAGACGTAATGGGACGATCTTTTGAAGCTATGAAAGATGTATTCTTGAAGTACCAACAGGAAGGTAAAAGAATGGAGCTCATTAATAATGAAGCAAAAACAAAATACATGACTACAACACCCCACGGCAATGGAGGAGAACCATACATACAAATTGAGCCATACTCCTTCGAGAGAGTGGAAGAATTTACTGATTTAGAATCGCAAGTCCATTCTGATAACGACACTAAACAGGAAATTCAGCGTCGGATTATCTCTACAAACAGATGCTACCACGGACTAGTTAGACGTTTATATAGAAGAGTAGAATTCCGAACCACTAAGATCCGCCTGTATAAGACATTAGTTCGGCCAGTACTGACTTATGCTGCGGAATGCTAGACTACTACCAGAAACCAGAAACAGGCTCTGCTAAGATTTGAGAGGTGGATTCTGAGGAGAATCTTGGAACCAATATGTTAAGGGAAATCTGGAGATAGCGGACTAATGCTGAATTAATGCAATTGTATGGGGATGTTGACGTGGTGATATTTATTAAAATTAGCCGCCTCATATGGGCTGGACATGTTATCAGAATGCATGATGATAAGGTCTCAAAAAACATCCTCCTAGAAGAAATCTTTGAAAAAAGAAGAAGAGGAAGACCAAAGTTGCGATGGATGGATCGTGTAGCTGCAGATACCCGGTCTTTGGAGCTGGAAGAAAGCAGCACGGAACAGGTATGACTGCGAGAGGCCTTGTCCCCACGCGGGATGTAGCGTCATTTATTTTTTTAAATAAAAGTAATATTAAATAGAAAATAAAATGGGATTATGAAATATACAATGTTTTATTATTATATGAATTATAGAAAAAACAACAACGAAATTTCCAATATTAGAACAATTTTTACAGATACATTAAGCTTAATAGAGTTTATACGAAGGATCTTAATTTTAACAATAAAGAATAAAGACTGAAGTGGATAACGAACTACTGAAATTCAAACACTAAGGTAGCAATATTCAGCCCCTGAAAATTACATCAACACAACGGTCTAGTTTTTAATGTTGAAAATAATGTTGATTTAAATATATATTACATTTAGAATAGGAAATATACTTTATTCTAGGACGAGGTTCCTTAAGAATAACAATTATGAACAAAAAATAAAAACCACACCTGGCCAAAAATTACATTGATCAAAATTAATGAATATATACAATATTTTCAGTGAAAGTTTACTAAAACAAATAAAAAAGTAAAACCATTTTGAAAAAAACAAACATTGTTTAAATGAAAAGGATAACAGAAATGAGTTAAAATAAAAAAACAAAATGTCATAAGCACTATGGGTTGATTCTTAAAATTAAAACTATCAATTTCAATAGCCATTCACCTCAGTCAAAATTTACAATGTCTGCAAAGAAAAACCTAAGTTTAACTTCACACTTAAGAAGATAAAACACTTTTAAATTGGAACATTTATCATTTTTATAAAAATTTCGTTTGTTAGAAGGCTTTTTGATATCACTGTATATGAGTATATTTTTGCCGTTTATTAAGTCAAAATTAATAATTTACATTATTTTTTTTTTCAGGAACCTGATTCCAAGTGCCTCCTTAGTCGGTGGTTCCAGGAAAAGAATACAGATGGCTTTTCTTGGATCAGATGGAAGAAAAAGTTTTCATCAAAACACTTGAGTTATATTAATAAATTAAGAATCAGGGAGAACTCCGATTCTATTCATAGCAGCGTCCTTTCAAAGGGTGCTTTATTTTTCCTAAAATCCTCAATTCTCTGAGATCATTTATTTTTATGGTGTAATTACAATTCAATAAAGTAATCCTCTTAATCAAATTTATTAAATCCAAACTATTTCAATACATATTTCAGACTTACTACTTGGTACCTTTTCATCCAACATGAACTTTTTATTTCATTTCACTAGAGTGTTTCATATTTTCAGAAAAATTCATTCTTTAAATACATTTAATTTATTAACAAAGGCAAAAAGAAATGATCTGTTTCTTTGACCAAAAACAAAGAAAGTCATTCATCCGATTATAACGTATTCATGTTTTTTCGCCCATATTTTTAACTTCGTTACCAATATAAATTTGCTATATATTATATTTTATATAAATAAATTTGTGCATGATAATCAGAAATATGGTACTAGCTCGAAAAACATAGTAAACGATTTTTTTAAATATTGAAATGTTTAGTAATACCGAATTGCTAACGGCTGTTTTTATATGTAATCAAAAGGGAAGTTTAGGGCTCAGTTTGTTTGTCTTAGAAGTAATGATTTTGCTAAGATGAGTTAAATGACAGCTAGTTGATTGAAAACTGTAACTCGTTCATAAATAAATTTGTTAACGTAAGCAATCTGCGATATTGTTCAGGCACGGATTGAAATGCATTTATTAGTTACTCTAATATTGAAAAACTGATTAGTACGCATAACACAACTTTTACTTATCATCATTTTCTTAGTAGAAGAAAGTATTTTTAGACAAAGAAAAGTGAAAGTAAAAATCATAGACGGTACGAATATCATTAAAAAAAATGAATTACTATTTGTTTTTTGTATCCGTCTAATGTATTATATTAATTTATTTTTGTCACTAACCATTCCGTTTTAGGACTGTATATTTCAATTATTTATTTTATTGTATAAAATAATTACTTATAATTAATCCCATGCATATAAATACTCTAAATATACAATTTCACTTTAGTACGACTTCATTTTTTGTGCTAGACTGTTAACAAACATATTCATAAACAAGCAGACCATTTTACGAGAGTTGATTATTTCGAATTAGGAGATTTCAACACGTTTATTTTCGTTGAAAACTCGAAATCGTCAATTTTAATGTTCGATACATCAACAATACTTCCCCTTACTATGTGAGTAGCTTCATATTAAATATGGACATCTGTCATTTTCCGAATGTGGAGAAAAATTAAATTTTTTTTATAGGTTAAACTCAAACTGTTTGTTATGATTTTATTATAGAAAGTTCAAATTGAAAGATGAATGAACATCATTAAAATTGGTTTAAATAAAAACTCTGTTACAAAAATTGACTTTACTTTAATTTTTAAAAATGAAAGGCGCCCATCTTTGATTTGAGGCCACTCAAATTTTTCATATATAGATTAGTGAAAGTAAAACACGAAGGTTGGAAAACTTTAGGATTCCGACATTCTATGGCAATCAACTCCAATTAAGCCCAAATTTCAAATACCTAGGTACTAAATTACAAACTAAATCGGGGCCTCAATTTGGCATAAGTTGAAAAGAAAACAACAGCAACTCTTTCACAGGAAAGACTGTAAAATGCAAAAAAAAAAAAAAAAAAAATACATTCTTTGAACAGTAAATCATAATATTTAATGAAATGGGCATTCATTAGAAAATTTAAAAAATAATTATAACAAGAATAATAAGCTGTAGAGAGCAAGAAAATAATTTAAGATGCTCTTTCCAACTAAGAAACTCTCCTCTCCTGTATGGTCAGTCTTAAAATTGCTGGATAATGCCTACACAGCTTTAAACTTAGTTTCAATGGAACATAAAGAAATCCCTACCGAAGAAAATCTGGTACAAAGTTTGAAGAGTAAAGCACTACATGGTCGTTTTTACAATGCTTTATCTCAATCGAGAATTCACTGGGAGGCCTCTAATAAATGGCTTCAGCAAGGATACCTATTTCCCGAAACTGAAGGGTTTATTTTGGCAATACAAAACCAGGAAGTATCCACCAATGCTTGTAAAAAATATATATGTATTAAGTTAAGCAACGCCGAGCGTGGTTTTAGCACTTGGATGGGTGACCGTCCGCCAGGGTAAGCTAAGCTTCACGAAATTCTTGTCCCCCCCCGTGTATGTGAGACTTGTCAGGCTACTGGAGGCAACTCAATCCGACTGGGTTGGTAGACCGATGACGCTAACCCGTGTACTTAAATCGGGAATCGGGACGTGGTCAAGGTGACATCATTTCGCGGTCAAAGATATATATATATATATATATATATATATATATATATATATATATATATCTGTGTGTGTGTGTGTGTGTGTGTGTGTGTGTGTGTGTGTGTGTGTAGTTGTATATATATTTTTGGATTCTAGAAATTATATTTTATATTTGTACATTGATTTTTTATCTCAGCATCTAAACTTTAATTAATTATTTAACATCACTATAATGTTTAAACAATACAATAGATGGTATCGCCTATTTATTCTAATCTATTATCACTAACTAGCAGCTATTCAACTATGGTTTGATCGATCTGATGTAAACAAAGCTACCTGGATTTGACATATAGAATTGTGTAAAAGCCGATTTAGCGCTAAAAAAACAGTTATATTGATATAGCACATGGAATAAATGATATATAATAGGAATATTATTCATGATATTTATATCAATCTCTTGATGATATCTGTGTCATCTCTGGATTCTCTACAAGGAGGTTTCAGTTTTGAAAACACTACCTAGCTATTGTTTTCAATCAGTAGCATAAACTATCTAAGTCACTAAGGACATGGATAACAATATTATAGAGGCAGGGTTAAGCATCTTCAAAATGGTACAGACAAGATATTTGGTAACTCTAGAAATGAATATTGTATAATAAACAATAAATTCAATAAAAAAATAAATTCAATCGTATAATAAACAATTAACTCAAAACTAGAAGATAAAGAAAACAAGAAAACTCACCATATTGTGGCGGTGGTAGTGGTAGTGACCGGGTGGTGACTAGGGATGTGGTGTGGTGTGCGCCTGTTGCTGGAGCAGCAAAGGGACAGCGGCTCCTGTCTTCGGCTGGTCAGTGGCTCCTCCGCCCGCGGCATCGGTGGCGTCTTTACATACCTGTTGGAGTACGGAGTCTGTTAATATTGCTTACTAGATATAGCAGCGATAATTGGGATAAGATACAAAAAAGATAAGCAAACATTTAAATAATCTATTGCAGGCGGCCCGAGTGCACGTGGTCACCATCACGCCCGCTTATCCTAACCTAAAACAGCGATCACCATAGCAACTGGTAACAGCATTCCGCTGTATTGCTGTTCAACGATTTTCATTTTTTATAAATATCAAAAATTAATTAAGAAGTAATTAATTGAAAATACAATTACATTTATTTGAAAATAGTAATTATTTATATCAAAGCTTTTTAATTATACTTTGCAGTTAATCTTTATTATTTTCTCTCCTTTTTTAGAGTAAAAAAAAATCACAAATTTGGTAATTTTGCATTCAACCTATCTAATAACTAGTTAATTGCTTATTTGTCAGTCTTATATTTTATTGTTTCATATTATAACCGTTATACTCTTATATTATAACCATCTATACTTCTTATAAGGGTATTTTGTTCATATCATTTAAAATATTGTTAATAATTGTTTACCACAAGATATTTTTAAATTGTTCTAGATATGAAATAGTTAGATATAGATTCATTACAATTTCTCCCATAGAGAATTGTAGAATAGAATTAATGCTCTCTTCAAAAAATCTAAGGTTTTTTTTTTTCTATATTCTTAAACTCTAGTATTTCATTGTCATAGATTACGAACGAAGACACAAGTTTATATTTAAAGATTCTTATTGGTAGACGAACACAACGCTTGTATCAGAACTTACAGTATGTTAGGGAGAGGTCACCTACATCACGCAACAAATTACCGTCTAAATCTGATCATGTTAATTAAGACCGCACTTTAAACATAAAAATATACTCTAGTTTTTATCAATATTATTTATTTGATAGCAGTAAGTAATTAAGATAAATGTATCTATCGCATACAGTTACTTACTTATATCTATAGCTATCTAATAGAAGGAAAACTACTGTCAATGTTTCCCAGTTTCCGCCAATAACAATGAAGCCTATATAGTTCCAATATGAAATGCACACAAAAAAAGATCTGCTAAGTAAGGTCAGTATAACTTCCTCACCTTTTTCATTGGCTAAAAAAATATCTATATTACAAGATCTAACATTTTTCGTATGAGAATAAAATCTCTGGGAGAAGCCGTTTTCGGAAATTCAGCAATCCCTCAACATATACGGATGAGAAAGCCAGGAGTTTTGTTCATCATCGAATACTAAAATGCAAAAGAGTATTTGGAACCACTCTCAAGCGGATATAGGTGGTTTTGAAGGGCAATTGATGTGATAGTTCGATTTGTGTAGGAATACAGAATTGCAGTGTCGTCAGCGAAGAAATATATGGTGCTAGAGGGCTTCGGGAAATTAGAGGTGTATAGAGAATAGAGGGTTGGGCTCGCTTGTGGTAGGCCAATTTGTTGAGGGAAGAAGGAGGAAACAGAACAATCTACGAATTTATTATTATTTAAATAATGTAATGTTAATCTGAGATTTTCTTATTGTACACAAATTAATAAATGAGGGCTTGATTTAATTATTGATTATTGTTCAATTATTCAACAACTGATTAATAGGTATTCCTTCAAAAATATAATACACTAAACTAATCTGTGGTAATAACGGTTGATTATTTTATTCGGGCCTTTGAATAAATTTAGTGAATTGTAATTTTTATTTTGTATCTGAATGAACATATATTTGTAAAAGAAATCTTTACAAAAAATTAATAAATAAGGTAAGTGTGGTCCACTTATAATCCACTCACCAAACATAGACCTTGACGAATCGATTAAAATTTACATAATATTTTATGAGTTTCAATAACCTCAACGGTAATAATATTAATTAGTTATAAAAATATATAACATAACACATATACAGTAAATACATGCATAAGTAATTATAAAACAACACAATAATAAGTTTATATTCCAATTACTTTAAATGCGGGAGAGGATAGAGAAGGAGTTTCACGTATTGGCTAAAAAAAGTCATAGTTTAAATATTGAGGTCCTAAATTTAAATTAAAAATTTTTTAAAATTTTAAGTATTTTTTTCATTTACATTTTCATATCAGTCTTTCCACAGCTTATATACGTATTCTATTAAAGGATTTCTTGGATCTAAAGTTTTTTATATTCACCTATTCTGAAATATCCTACTAAAATTATGTATTTGAAATAAAAACAAAACAAAACAAGAAAACTTCAAAATAAAAATTTATTTTTCGTAAAGCAAATCAGATGAAAGCTCTTCTAATTCTTCTGAAAACTTTTAGAAGGAGTTATCGCTTATCGTGGTATCTTTTGTGGTTACTGAGATATAACTTTTATTTTTACCATCTTTACAAACAATGTTGACCTTATAATTCATTTTAAAAGTTAATTATAAATAAACTAGGGAGGAGAGAAGGCATCCCTTGGCCGGCTCACGGCGGACCAGCCCCCATTTTACAAATTATACAACTGTTCATTTAATTGTACTACTCGTTGCTCATATTGCATAACTGTAATTTACATTTATTCCGTAGTTAAGATTCTATAATTTTTTCAGTATAGTGTAAGTAGGGAAAAAAATTCAAGTATTTTTCACAGCATTTCAATTTGTTGAGATTGAAAAATAAAATATTCCACGGTCACCAAAACATTTTTATGCAATAGGGAGTACCCCAGCATCTTAATTTGTTGAGGTTAGAACATAAAATATTACACAGCCACTAAACCATTTTTGCTATACATAAAAATCTAATTATTCTATAAGTTGTCAAAGGCAAAACGGTTCAGTCTCTTTTTCTCCTCTGTTTCTCAACTGATTTTCTTTTCTTTTTTTGTTAAATAGCTATTGACGAGCTTCAGTTTTATCAATAAATAAAAATATGAAATAGTGTATATAAGTAAAAATATTGAGATTGTTTTTTCGTAGTTGGAAAAACCCATGAATACGAATTTTCTTATTAACCACAAAATAAAAATGTTTAGCCTCATATTTTCTGAGTGAGGAAAGTTGGTTCAAATAATTATTTTGAAAAAAGTAAACAAACGGTACTGCAATGTTTTCTTTTTAAATACGTATAAAATGAATGTAAAAATTTATAAGAGAAGTAAATATAAAAGCTCCAACCATCTTCACGGAAATAAACAATTATACCTTTATTGTAAGTATTATGACATTTAGCAGACATGATATAAATGAAAATTAAACACAGAGAAAATTAAACAAGTCCGGTACATTTTTTTCATTATCAAACTGATCCATTCTAAAGTCAAACTTGTTCCATAAGATAAAATTACTGACATGATCATTATATAAACAGGCAAAAGGCAAATCAGTTCAGTCCCTTTTTCTCATCTGTTTCTCAACCGATTTTTTTTCTTCTGTTTAGTAGCTATTGACGAGTTTTAGTGTTACCAATAAACAATAATTTTGGAAACAGTGTATCTAAAAATAAACGTATATTTTAGTTTGCTCAAACCATTAATCTCCGAAAGTTGTTCACCGATTGATTTGAGATTTTGATACTATGTTGTAATAAAATTCATAATTATTTTTATGTGTTTAGAAAATCCCATTACCTCGAGTTTCGAAATACCGGCCGAAAAACCTGTATCGCTGTAGACTATAGCGCCGAAATGGTTGTGACGACTTCAAGAAAACTTGGCTACAGCCTTCTCCTAAAAGCTCTTTTAATAACATACTTTCCCGAAAAGAGGCTGAAAAAAATGTAACGATGAATTCAGAATTTTATTTTCTTATAACTCAAAAAGTAAACAATTTTTGGTTCATTAAAACTGAGTATTTGAAAGCTTCCTGAATTCCATTCAAAGGGAAAAGAAAATCTTAAAAATCGAAAAGATTCATGTCAGATAAGATATTAATGTTGCATTTTTTCCTGTTTATATATTTTCTTGTTTATAACATTAAACCTAAAACTTCGACTGTTATACTCACTTCTCTCAAGACTTTCAAAATTAAACTTAAAACAAAAACTGAACACTTACAATTATCTACTTAAGCCCATATAGACCTACGCTTCACAAATTTATGGAACAGCAAAAACGACCCGCACACGAAAACTACAAACTTTTCAGTCTAATACTTTCAGAACCATAACCAAAGCTCCATGGAACGTCACAAACATTAAGTTACATAAAGACCTTCAAATCCCAACAGTTAACGATCACATACGGACACACTACAAGCGATTTCACAATAAATTAGATGCACATACTAACACCCTTATACAAAGTATGGCTACATTTAACATGCCCGAAAAGACACTTAGGAGGCTCAAAAAGAGCTGGATGAGGGATTTCATCGCTTAAAAATATGCTAAAATCAAGACAAGAAGGGAAGCCGCTGGGCACCCCTCTCCATCACTCTGATCAAGCCACTACCTATATTCTTACCGACAGCACACCCGCTAATTGTCATTGCTTATGACACGTGTGGGTGAATAAATGAAGTTAAAAAAAATATATATATTTTTTAGAAGAGCTTTATTATTGCAAATTTATAATCGACATATTGTTATAGTTGAACTACAATGTTGAAATGAAACAACTTGTACCGACTGAAGGAGCAAAGTTGGTTCAAATATTTTTTTGAAATAACGATGGATTCAGAATTGTATTTACGAATATTTTAGTTTGTTTTTCAAAACTTATCAATTGAGAAATATCACAATCTGTCTCAATTGAAGATATATCTTTACGAATAACTCAAAAAGTACACCAATGATATACAATGATATAAGTACACCATTATTTTTTATTGTAATTACATATAAAATTGTATGCTCGAATATATGAGCAGGAAAAAATATAGGAAACATCCAAATTCATTTACGTTTTCCTCAAATTTTCAATAATGATTATATTCGGATTTCGACCACTGTGCGAATAATAAATATGCTACAGTTAATTTTTTTTGTTTATAGTCTTATAAATTAATCTTTGCTGATATGTGTTAAGCAAATAATCCGTCAATTACATCTCCAAAATATATGACACATATTATGGATACAATAACATAATAATGGATAATAACAGAATAAATAAACAAAATGAGAAAACATAGAAATAATGTGTGTTCGGCATTAAGGGGGGATTACTAACCGCGTAGGCATGGGCTGTTTCAGGTGGATTTCAGTTCTCAACAGCAAGCTTGCACGGTTGGCTTCGTCAGTCTTATGATTTATATGCTGCTGGGGACTGAAATCAAACCAATTCTGTATCAGCTTCTTGTTATGAATAATAAAAAATAATTTAAATAATATAAATACAGTTAAAATTCAATCAGAAAAATAGTAATAAATTTTAATATAATTAGAAATCTTTATATATTATTTCTCAAAGGTGTATTATTGTCGGTTATATATATTTATTAATACTTCATCAAGTCCAATAATTGAACGATCGTTATAAGGTCATCTTCTCATTCAGTGCCGAAAAAAAAAAATATTCCCCAGGAAAGTTAAGAAAAATAGGTATGAGGAAGTAATAGTTTTATTTGCGCCTAATTCAAAAAGTATGCAGATTATAGAGGATTATGCCCATGATAATTTAAAAGGTTTCTAAATTATTTTAAAAAAAAAATCCAAATCGGATGTTTATTTCTATAGATTGTAGCATAGGCGCAAACGTTCGATATTGATTGAGGTGGTGATGGGCCAAAAAAAAAAAAAGTCGGAATTTTATTATGTGCTACAATCCAACATAATTATTGTGAAACGAAAAAATATAATATTGAATATTTAAAATTAATTTGTTTATATAGTTGTAAAGATTTTTATTATTTTTTATTTTACTTATTATATATATTAGAAAATATCTAAAAAAAAAATACACTTGTATTTAACGTATTTGTTTAGATTAAACATAGAGAAAGGAGACAGCCTTCATAACATTGATACATTTTTAGAACTTTTTCAGCTTTAATAAATAATGTAAAAAAGTGAAAACATCTTTGATTTCTTAGTGAGTACAATAGATAAAAATATGTTTTTCACAGTCCGACTAGTTTGCTGCGGATAACGGTTTTAAGAATACCACGTGAAAATTGAAGAGTGATTGGATCGTAAAACCCTAACATTTGTTTATATATATTACTATCTTTGAATATGAGTGACAATTTAAATAAAAATATTAATAGTTAGTGTATTATTAATAGTTAGGTATTAATATGTATTATTAATAGTTAGGTATTAATAGTTACATACCTACTACTAGATCCCAGCCTAGCCAGCTAGTCGACTTTTCATAATCGATTTTAGTTTACACATTCATGTACTCTTAGGCGGGTCCCAGAATAAATTAAGGAACTATCTTTGATGAGACAGCCTCACACGACCTTCCTATAGCTGATAAATTCTGATATAAGAATTTATTGTTTCACTAAATATTAATATTATTACGATAAGATTCTTCTTTTTTTACAAATTAATGGAATTACATAGGATTGAATTATTGTAATGAAAAAAAAATCTACCGGTCAATATAAATTGAATTCACTTATTTCCATATTTTATTTATATTTATTTACTGAGCAATATACCATGCCAATTATTCGTATGGTCCAAGTAGTACTTTATAACCGTACATTAATTTAGATTTAAAAGAAATGAATATTATATAAGCACAACATTGTTGGTTTAGACGGTGACAGATGGGTCTCGTGCAGAAATTATTAAGGATAAATTCATGAATATACATATAAAAACAAAAGTGGAAAGTAAGCAATGTAAAATGTATACGTTTAAGGCTTCATGAGGATAGGAATGAAATGAAGACATATCTTGAAGGTAGTAAAATCACACATACAAGATATCAAACTTTTTTCAAGATATAGAATGTGCCGAGATTTTTTCCGATGCGCCAAGCTTAATTAAAGAAAAAAAAATCGAATACCTATTTTCGATCAAATTTAACTTAATAATGCAGTTAAGCTATTAAAGGAAAAAAAAAAGGTGTTGAATGAAAATATCGAGTGTGAACATTGTATAAATACCAACAATCGTGTACAATAGTTTATGTACTTCTTTTAAAATCGATTTGGCTCTAGAATTTATCTTGAAATAAGTACAATAAATAGAATTTTATATTTTAAATTTTGAATATCAAGAATAGCTTCTATCTATCAACAATAGCTTCTACACTCATTGAAGAATGAATATGGAATTGAGAAAAAATACCAGGATTTGCAATTTTTGTTAAGTCCTTTGTTAGTGAGCACTTACAATTGGTGAATGGGGAAAATACCGTTTAAATAAATTCTCAAACCACAATTAACATTTATTTATATAGATTACGACAACTTGAAAATGAATAGACATGAAACAAAACAACTGTCAAAAATTTAAAAAGTTAAAGCAGCCTCTTTTATTACTGCCTAATTTATAAGTGTCTTCTAATGGTGGAAAGGTTCCCCTCACCAGTTGTAAGCAACCGCGACAATTCTCTCGCATTTAGTTTTAGTAAATAGCTCAGTTTGACTACACACCATTTCTTACAATCAGCTATATGACTCACAAGGGAAGGTCCCAGTTAGTGAGTCACCGATTTCAACCAAATATTTTGGTGATTAAACATTATAAAATATTGAACATGTACGACAGTCTTCATTCCAATAAGTCTTAGTTTTAGGAGGCTAGAAAAAATAAATTATATTATTATTTTTGTCATAGAATTGCACGAAGTTCGAGGTTTTTTATAGCGATCAAAAAACGTGATTGTTAGAAACAGAAAATTTAAAAAAAAAAGAAACAGAGTTTCTAATTCAGTGGATATAATTGTCCTGTCATTGCCTATTCTAAAACTATTTGCTACGGGGACACATTAAACCAGGAGGCTGGCCAAGAGCGAGGACGACGGGAGAATCGTTGCTCTTCGATATAAGCACGCTCGATTACCGCCAACTGTCGGAACTTGATAGCAGCCCTGTCATCTACAGGACTTTGGAAAACAATCGCTGTTCCGTCCATTGCAAAAAAAAAAAAAAAATCTAAAGATAGCAAGCTTCCTACGATTTATAACAAAACGAAAAGAGTCGTGGGAATAGCTAACAACTTATAACAATAGTTTTGATATTAAATATAATTTTATAAAAATAAATAGTCGAATAAAAACAAGAAACCCGATAACAGAAAGCCAGGAATCATATCTATCCTAATTGCATGCACTTTCGTATCTAATTAAATACCCTGGTAGACTTGGTGCTGTAGTCGGGTGTCTACCTAAACGAAAATCACGACTGTCGTGTGTTGGCATCCTCTGATAATGGGACAAAATATACTAAATTGGAAAAAATAAATTTAGTGGTCCATTTTTGCCAGAAAATATTTTCTACCCAAAGTAGAGCGGTAAATGACAGTTGTGATGAGCGCACTAGATTTTTATTGTTATAACCTTTTCTTCAACAGCAAATAAAATTTTAAAATTTACAATACCATTAAGTAATGCAATGAATACAGTTCATAGCTAACAGATATAAGTATGTTTTCCTTATTAAAAACGTTTCTTTAAAAATGCAGAAATCTGCAATTAGTGAGAACAGAAGATGAAAATTCTTGTCGACCTTCGTTCGCTAGTCCGTAAACGCTTGAATAAATATGGAATAATAGTGACTGAAAAGGGGAAATCCAAGAGCCCTGTCTTCCTCGCAAACGGGTTCGCTAATACATAATTCAAAAGGATCCGACTCATTGAACTGCGCATTATGGCTTTGAAGGAACATAAACTAAAGCCAGAAAAGGATGACCCATGGAATATATTCGTAGATTATAGATACATAACTTGTATACATTAGATACACCTGTCTTTTTTTTGTAAAGAAACATAGAGTTATGACAAATCTGTAGGAGCTGTAGCTTTGAGTATATATATATATATGTATATATGTTCGTTTTATTCTTTTATTTTAATAATATATGTATATATATGTATATATAAAGCTCTATATATGAAACGAACATCTCTCAGGAATTTCGTAATACAATACCAGTGAGGCAACTTTCCTTGTAACTATTTTTAATATTTTTTTGTTAATTAATTTGTTTTGGAAGATATATTGGTTTCAATATTCTATTTTTTTGAATTTATATAAAATATTAGAAGGAGTTCGTCGAGGGTGCGGTAAAATAAATGAAAAAATTAAAATATATAAATTATTTTAATTTTTGCCAAACTATATATTTTAATTTATATATATATATATATAGTTTGCCTATATAGTTTGCCAAACTTATATATTTTAATTTTTTTATTTATTTGACCGCACCCTCGACGAACTCCTTCTCATATTATATTAACGGTCAACCATCTCTACATCATTATATAAAATATTGGTTAAATATATCGATATTTCGGTATATCAATATTTTTCTTGCATTCCCGAGTCCAAAACCCTGTTTTTTTATTTTTTTTTTATCATTTTTTAAATTAAATCCGCCTCATACCTCCGAAACCGTAGCCAAAAGGAAACAAATGAATAGAATTGTTTTGTAAAAGGGATTTAAAAAAAAAAAAAAGAACTCCTGAACATCTCTACCACTAACAACCCATAAATGAAGAGTCCTGGGTTCAGTACAATGTGAGGAAGTACTATTACAAGACCATCGGTTGTGCAGTGAGGTGAGTGGGCCGAAATTACGCTCTACCGCCAGATTCTCCCCCCCCCCTGTTAATTAATTATTTCATTAAGAGTACCAACTTTATAGAGGCTGGGTGTGCTCAGGAGGGTGCTCTGGAAGTCAGCGTTCACCCAATGAGCTACACCACTCCCAAGGGGATTTAACCTAGTTATTTTTTTTTTATATGGGTTGCTGTTGGCTTTACTCAATATTTACCGAGATATTAAAAAAAAAGAATATTCTTCCTAACTCATAGCGTTGGGATATGCGATCCTACTGGAGTTAAAAAATTAAAGTGTTGCTCCAGGTGTTGGAGTAAACTGATTTAGTTTATCCATTTTTCTCTATTATTAATCGAAAAGTGAAAACAACTAATTTGAGACTAATACAATACAGTATAAACAAATAAATAAAAAATTAAGGTTTTGATTTTCGTCCACCTTTTTTTTTTTTTAAATGACTGTTATTATCTAATCATCATTTTATTATTATCTTATAATTATCGATTGATTCGAAAGGAAATTGTTATAAAATATATTAATCGTCTGAATATAATCAATGCAGATTCAATATAAATAGTTTAGTTTAGTTTTAAAGATAAATTTCTGATGAAAACGAATCTAAGAAAATGTAACCGCAGAGAAATATGGTACATGAATCCTGATATAGTACGTCGATTATTATGCAAGTCCGGGTATGAGGCACGTCATTGGCTAAAGCCTAAGTTATGGCTGGCTCGGCTCCAAGACCTAGAACGAAGCGAAAACCTATTTGGCAGCTATAGTGCCGCCCCCAGAACGCTGAGGTCCCATGTATTGATTTCGACCATATTAATTGATTCCGGCACCCACCATAATTTTATTTATTCACAATTAAACTTGTTAACAAAATGTGCCGAACAATCTAATCTACAGTGTAATAGGACAAATTTAAATTCCGAAGTGAAAATTTTTCAAAAAAGTGATCTCATTCCATATGAGAAGGAAAATTGTTAGTGATACACGTTGCTTTTGTTTTATTATTTTCAATAATCAACCTTTGTAATCGACCTAGAATAAACATAGCTGATCTCCCTTAAAATTTGAAGTTTCAAGGTTCGAAAATCGAATAAAAAACTCCGTGCGTCATCCTCGAATACTGGACCGATTGTTTTGTGAATGGTTATCGATGTTAAAGGGCATCCTCAGAACTGAACAAAATGGTAAAATATAACCATGTTTTATAGAAAAAAATATTAAAAACTATCTATTAAAGTATTATTGTTCGTGTAATAACATTTAATAGGACTTCAAGAATCACTTAAACACCATTTCATATAGGTAGTTCATTTCTTTCTTCTTTTTTTAAAAAAATAATTATCGTTATATATATGAAAAAAAATCTTTCCGGCTGAAGCCTCCCCCAAAATTAAATCCTGAATCCGCTAGTGGACTGTTGCGCCTAAACTAATGTACTGATTTTAATTGAACTATATATAAATTGTGTATCACCTATCCTTTGGAATATCTTTATAAATACAATTTTTGATCTTGACTTACCAACGGACTCAAAACTAATTATCTACGTAGACGGTATAATACTTTTAATAAGGGAAAAACGCTTTCAAAATTTAAAATAAAAGCAAATAAAGCAAAATACTTGACTGGGCAAACACTTACAAATTAAAACTGAATACACAGAAATGCAAATATATTATTTTTAGCAAGAAAAGAATTCTAACGGACTTATCATAGATAAAGATCATAAACAAAACTAAAACACTAACCTTTTGGGGGGTTTTATTCGACAGAAAACTAAACTGGAGGAAACAAATTGAAAGCATTTATTGCATTATTTTACAAACCATAAACCCTTTGACCATTGGTGCAAGGGCTACGTGTGGCATAAGAGCCGAGTGCCTGAAGATAATTTACGAAGCAGCTTTAATTCCCAAGATGCTTTACGCTGTACCAATTTGGCACGAAGCGATTAAGAGGAAATTCGATCTTCAAAAGCTTCAACGATTACAAAGGCTCATTGGCATCAAAATTGCCACGGCTTACAGAACAATCTCATACGATGCACCGTGTGTATTGGCTGAAATAGTTTCTATTGATGTTAAATCAATGAGTTGGTCAAATATTGATCAAAATACTGAACAGAGACTATGGAGACATTGTATTCAACGCAATAGAAAATGAATATGAAACTATAAATTGGTTATATCCATGAATACATGCTAAGTTATACAAAATTTACACAAAATACAGGAACTAATACGAATAATGTAGGATGCTTTGGGACATGGTTAGTGCCAAGTTCAAGCTGGGTGCTACATGTTTCAACCACCAGGCCAAAAAGTACGCAGTTATAAAAGTCACAAATAGTTTCTTGACCTTCTAACTGACATTAAGAAGTCTTCCTACAAACAGATAACACGATATAAATGCAATCTGTCCTAAATCCAAGCATCCACAACCAGTTCACCGAAAGTATCAGAAGTAACATTCATAAATTTAGGCTAATAAATTCCAAAATAAAAATAAAATGGGTGAAAGGTCACTCTGGGGTCGAAGGGAACGAGATTGCTGACACGTCCGCGAAAGAGGCTGCAAAAGTGATCTATCTTTGTCATATGCTAAAACCACAATCTCTTATATAAAATATGAGATCAGAGAAAATTCAATTTTAAGTTGGCAAATATTTATTAAAAAATTAACAACAAAAGCAACTATAACTTAATCGAATCTACAAATTACAACTGCGACTGACTGTAACTGAACACGGGCAGACCAAATAATATTTAAAAAGATTCAATTTAATTAGAACAAACTTTTAAACATATAATTTATGACTGTCAATTATACGAACGGCATAGATTTAAATTGATTACGACAACATTTCTAAAGGAAAAAAACAGGCGATTATCGCAATTTGACTTGTACAATAACTTTCGAGAAGCCCTCACAAAATTTATCAATAGTTTAGATTATTACTATCTGACAAAAAACTGAGGAAACGGTAAGCATATCAGATAAGGTCATCCATAATTTTGTATAATATATTAATTTATAAAGAAACTGTACGATTATATTTATCTGCTTTATAACTTTTGTAATTTTAAGAAACTCTGTTCGTTAAATTTTGTATCTTTTTCTTATATATGTTTATTTTAGTTATGTTTATACTAACTTGAATTGAATTATGTGTCTAATTAATTAGTGTTAAGGTTATTAGATAAAATGTTAGCTTTAAGGTGCATAATATACATTTGTATGAAATGTACCATTATAATAAACGGTTCTTTCAAAAGGTTACTTTTGTAACAAGAATAACTCTAAACAGAATCGATCTGGAAGCCTCTACGTAACAAT